AGGGTCCAAAGGAGGGCCACTCGCATGATCAGGGGGCAACAGGACAGGCCCTATGAGGGCAGCAGGGCAGGCTACGGGACCTGAGCCTGTTTGGCCTCCATAAGAGAAGCCTGAGGGGGAATCTAGTGGCCTGTTACAAACTAGTCAGAGGGGACCAGCAGGCAATGGGGGAGTCCCTGTTCCCCCGAGCACAACCAGGAGTGACTAGAAATAACGGTCACAAGCTGGCAGAGGGTAAATTCAGATTAGACATCAGGAGGCGCTACTTCATTGTCAGGGTGGCTAGGATCTGGAACCAACTTCCAAGCGAAGTGGTGCTGGCTCCTACCCTGGGCGTCTTTAAAACAAGGTTTGACAATTATCTTGCTGGGGTCATTTGACCCCAGTACTCTTTCCTGCCACGGCAGGGGGTCGGACTCCACAAGCGAACAAATGGGCCAGCAAAAAAGTTACGTGGAGGCTTATGCTCCCCCCATGCAGGGGATTGGTAGGGAGAGTCAAGGGAGCCCGCTGCCCTCACTGCTAAAGGACCCAGAGCAGCAGGGCCCACAGGTCCTCTCCCCAGCCCTAGCAGGGGCAAGGACATTGTGCTTCCTTCTCTTCTCTGTCCTGCAGAAGGCACTGTCCCCAACTCAGCCACAGCAGGCTGTGCCTGGGGAACTCACACCATGTCAGAAATTCATAATCAAAACAAAATCACAAGGTGGCATAAACATAAGTCATCATCAAGATATTTATTGGGATGTTCTTCTGTCCTAGTTAGAGCAAGCCTTTGTCTGAAAAGAGCAAATTGTACAATTCATGGGCTCAGCCCAGTGTGCCTTCTAGACAAAAAAAAAATACCAACAGACAAAGTATGGGCAATCAATACAGCTCAGCTTCACAGGCATACACTGTAGAACTGCTGACATCTCTCTGCCCACTAGTCAATGACTTGGTGAGGCACCAGACCAGTCTAGTGACTAGAAAATGCAATTCTGGTCAAGCCTAGCTAATGCTATTCAAGGAGTTGTGGTGAGCTTGGTGGGTTATTGCTGGTATCTGGAACCACAAGATCTAGCCAAATCAACAGTGGTAAGAAGCTGCTTTTATTCAATAGCAGTTTGGCATCTCTATTGCCTCCATGGAGGACCTGAGAGTGCTGTCAAGAATCAGGCCCTGCATCCCCTCTCCAATGGTGAACTCAACTTTAGGGAATGTCCACAGCACAGGCACAGATCCCAAGAGCAAGACAGGGTTACCCCAAGGTGACTTGTCTGCCTCTTCCAAATTTGGGGTGTGAAGAGTAAGAGTAAGTAGGCAAAACAGTGCTTCTTGGTGGTTCTCGTAAAAGGCCTGAGGAAGTAGTACAGACATAACCCATGAGGACTCTATTTCCAAAAAGGAGAGGGGCAGGTTACCAACCGTGTCAGCACTGCTGACAACCTCACTGGCAATGTCATCAGGAGGGCTGAAGACAGGACATATATCAAACTGCAGCCCCTCATTACTCCCAGCAGAGGACACTCCTCAGTAGCTAGCTCTGCAACACCTGATGGAGTCCTGTAGAGAGGCTTACATGCTACTGCTTGCATATGACAGCTATGCTCTGAGGAGGGGACTTCTTATACCAGCGATCCTATTCCAGCACTTCTCTTCATTTGCTTTAAAGGGGGAGGGGGAAGAAAAAAAAGGAAAAATCTACAGATATGAAGTGTTTTCCCAGTATTGTACATGTTAAAGGAAACATAAAATAGAACTGTTTACAGTTACAACTGACAACACAAACAAGTGAAAAACTTTACCATGCAGCACAGGCAGGAACAGCAATTTGGGACTGAAAGGTCTTTGTCCTGTGTCTTAATATTAGTGTCTTGCATTCAAATGTATGCTTTGATGCTTCTTAATAAATAACAATAAAAAAATCTAGAAAGCACAAAAACCAAATCCAAGCGGATGGGATGAGTATGAAAGTGGAAGGCATAAGTCAAGTCAGTTTAAAAATCACTTGTAGTTAAATTACTGCCACTCTGTACAGGAAGAAAGCCTAAACTGAACCCAAATAATCAAGAGAGTCTTCATTTTTATTCTCATATGTATGGGTGGAAGCCACAAGTAATATTCTCAGGTCAAAGGTGGGGGAAGACTTACACTAATGCAGAGTGGACCAAAGTGAGATGAGCATCCACCCCAAAATTTCAAACAACCAAATCACTGCAATTTGAAGGCCGACGCTACCCAATCACTACTTGTTATGATGATGCCAATTTACCCACACGCTCTGCTGAGAGCAACAGAGAACAGTGGCAAAAGAACAGCAATTTCAAAGGGTGTTTAGAAGGGAGAAAAAGCTCCAGAAAAAGCTCATGTTTTATTAAACCTTATAAAAGATTCCTAACTCATTTTACATTTCACAGCTGAATACAATTAAAAAAAAATCCATAGCAAAGCCAGGCTCTGCCTGAAATTAAGCAGATCCAAACTCCACCATCCATTTTTCATACTTCTCCAGATCTGCAGCAGATACAGACTTAGAGATTTTCTTCAGAGCCAGCTCAAAGTCCCCCTTGGTAACAGGCATCTGAAGTTCTTCTTTAGAAAGTGCACGGATCTCTTCTGGGGTTAAGCCATTAATACGACGTCTCATTGCCATCAAAGAGGCATCCCTGGAAACACAAGGAAACATATGGGAACTAATTGCTAGTAGTATGTGTTGTGAGTTGTATGAATTTGGATTACATTCTCTTAGACCACTGGAAGAAATTCTTAAGAAAGCATTTACTTATATTATAAAGATGTAGAGCATCTTAGCTTCCTTGTAGAGCATCTTAGCTTCCATGCTCAGAGATTACTACATTAATTCAATGTAAAGAACACAATGGTATCCAAATCCATTTAGGCATATGGTAAATGGGCAGAGATAATTAAAACCATAAAACTGAAAACCCCTTGTAATGATTGATGGAGCTGAAATCTCAGGTTTTCAATGCAGTCACAAAACTCATGGAAAAACCTCTGCTCGCTGCTTTCTCCTTGCTGAAACACTCCATTCCCCTCAGTGCAAGCACCAGCTTCCCATTCATGGCATCAAGGCTCTTAGCATTTGCAACCTGTTCTGATAAAGTGACTGAGTCAGTAAAGGGCAGAGCAGCACTTGGAAAACACAAATGCTATGTGGCACCCACAGGGCTCAGGCCACCGATGCTTGCAGGTCCTTCTGCTCTACATGCTTGACAGCCTCTTCTCTTGGTCCTTTGCAGAGCTCTGCCAATCTTGCCCACCAGAGGAGAACATTGCTCATTCCTCACAACAGGGCCCACATGGAAATTTCAATGTCGTGTTCCTGTCAACAGGCTTTTCTCAGCTAGGGACAATACAGGCCTCAGGGGTAACATTTAATCTGTTGGCCACTGCAACGCTCCAAAGAGTTGAGAACTCCAGTCATTTTAACACAGCCAAAAGGCCAAAGCATAGTTGCCACCATTTCCGAGATGTGCATTTAGAATAAGCTGCTCAGAGAAAAGACCCAGGGCCAGATTCCATTCCACTCATCAAGTGTCTAAGTGGTACTCTGGCATCTAAGTGATTAAGTATATTTGAGACCCTGAAAAGCCATTTGCCTAACAGGTGGGTTGTGCGAGGTGGGGAGCAGATTCTCCTCCTTCTGCCTGCTTTTTGTGGCATAATTTTGAGGCAAAGATGAAGGCACATTAAAAAAGTTGTATTTTTTTCATGGACTTGAGCAAGGTGGAGTAAACCCACACTTAGACACCTAATAGGTGGAACAGGATCCGGCAGCTAGTTTCTGTATGTGTGGTGCAGCATCTAGCACTAGATCTGCATGGAAAATTTCTAACTAAAGGCTGTCCCACAAAAGGCCAATCTGTCAAATTTCTATGGCAACATGATGATTTTGAACAAATTCTGATGGAAACCAGGCAGGTTTCCTGCCAGCTCACACTGTTGGCTCCTCTGCAGCTCACCTGCAGGGTGATGAGGAGCTGTCAGGCTGAAAGCTTCGGCTCCCAAGCTCCTGGTTCCTCGGCAGCCCCAATCCCACAACTCCCCCAGCTCCTGGATGCACCAGGAAGACCGCCCCAGTGCTGGGGCTTCCTATAGCTCCAAGATGCCCAACTCACCGCAGCTGGGGGAATCTCAGAAATGTTCTGAAAAAGTCAGAAAGAAAGGACCTACTGACCTTTTGGAAATGAAAAGCTGAGACCCCTTCTCTCAGGGAAATTTCATTTTTCCTTCCATTTCAAAAGGTTTTCTGCTTGTTTAATTTCAGAATTTCCCATGGAACAGAGTCCAGTTTCCAGCCAATTCTATTTGGCTCAACAGGGCCCTGATTCACAGTTGGGGTCTCTGGACACTATGGTAATATTTAGTAACAAACTAAATGTCATTTATTAGCAGTAGTAATGCCAGCAGTGCCTAGGTGTCTTCATCCCAGACCAGAACTCCACTGTAGTACGAAATAATTACTGTCCATCCCCTAAGAAAGCTTCTTGTGAAAAGGCTCCTCTGGGACAGGGAATTCCACCTACTAAACCCCTGGTTTAAAGAATAAATCCAAAAGGGCTTCACCCCACACTAACAGACATTGCTCAGTGAAAGTAAACACTAGGAACACAGAAGATTTTCTGGTGCTGTCCCTCTTCCCAAAATCAGGGTAGACAGTCACATCTTGCATGCACACTGCATCGTCCTAAGGATGGGAATCAATGTGCTAGCAACTGTATTTATGCCTTAAAACTGGTTGTAGCTGGGATGGGTTTGACTGCATTTTACACAGGGACTCTTGCCACTCCCTTTTATTAAATAACTTAGCTAATGATTATATATACTTGTTTATTTTTACAAATTACATGAGAAAGGTACCTGCACACATTAGTTATATCAGCACCAGAGTAGCCTTCAATCTTCTCAGCAATTTCTTCAAGGTGGATATCAGGATCCAATTCTACTTCCCGAAGATTAATCTTAAGCAGCTCAGCTCTGCCTTTTGCTACAATACAAACATATTCTTAGGTCTTTAACCAGGTAATGTTTAAGGCCCTATAGCACATGGGAATGAAAACTCAGAAGTATGTTTTCTAACTTTAAATGGAAGCTACAAATTAAAAAGTTCACATATTGGAAAACAGAAAACAAGAACAGTTGCCTTTTCAGTAGAACATGTCATCTAAAACACATATTGCTTAAGTACTTTATAAAAACCAAGAGCGCTTTAGAATGTGCGGTCATGCAGAATGCCTACGCTTCTCAGGTAACAAAGCATTTGGCTGTTTGCCTTGTATTCGACAAGAAATGTGATCCAGCAGACCTGTGATTCTTCTCAGTCTCTCAAATGCACCCCCCCCGCTTCAAAGTTAGACTGCACACTATTTATACAAGGTTGATGACACTTACAATAATACTTCTAGCACACAGTTGCAGACAACACTCAGACCCTGACTGATACAGCAAAGCTCTTAAAACTATGCCAAACCTTAAGCTAGCACCAAAATGCTTTGCTGAACTGGCAGCTTATAAAGTTGCTGATGCCTGATGAAAAACAGAAGTATTACAATTAGAAACAACTCTGCTGGTCAGTTTTCAAACACAGGTGCTGTGTGCACAAAATGGGAACTGCTGCAGAAAGTTCTCATTTACACAGCCAATTAGTCACTTGGCACACACAGAGTGTATGTGAATTAAAGTCTTATGTTCACAACTTGGGAACCCACATTTGGGAGCCTGTCACTTTGGGGATGGGGAAAAAGACTGAAAGAGGGGTTTTCTCTTGGATTTTACTACAAAGGAAATGTACATGAAACTAACATCTTCATTTTTACAGCAACCATTTCTGATGACTCAGGATAAGATGGCCATATTGGAAGAGCAGACAGTTTTTCAAACAAAGCCCCTGTTGGTCTTTACTGGTCTCCCTTGAAATAAGAGAACAGAGAAAAAAACACAGGTGGGTGGGGTGTGTGTGTGTGTACACACTCACACACTGATGTCAGGTTAACAGTAGTTTTACTAAGAGGTTAGGTTATGGATTTGTATAGGATGGTTTGGATAGAGATGATCCTGCCTCAGGCAGAGGGTTGGACTAAACCTCTGGAGGTCCCTTCCAGCCCTCTCTCTGTATGATTCTATATCGGACCATGGTCTCTAAGTGCCTCACAGAACTGTTTCTAGTACAAAAGGCTGGTAAACACTCACATAGCTGGCATTTTCTCCTGGATGAGTGTGTGTTATTTACAGAGCACCAGCCACATGCATCTGGTACACAAGCAGAACCGTTTCTTTAAACAAGAGTACTTTTCCACAGGGGCCAGAAAGCCCTGCCTTAAAGAATGCTGCCTGATGAAGTTTGCACTCACACCACGTCCCACAATTTTTTAAAAAACTTTTCCAACTGAATCCCAGACAGTCTCAAATTACCAAGCGTGATTATAAATACATTGCCTAGACTTACACGGAGAAGCTTAATTTCCTACCCTGTCGAATGATATGATAAAATGGAAGCCCACAAATACAGTGGGAACACATCTCATAAGTAGTCCAAATTGTACTATGCTTTGTCAAAAGCAAGTGTTGTTTCACTGGAAACAAGAGAAAAAAAAACAGGTGGAATTTTAAACTAATTGATCATAAAGACAGCTACCCTGTTATGAGCTGTTCCTGTCTGGGAACTGTGAAGACAAGCTGTATGCCTATTAAATGTCCTTATACCTGCTAAACTCAATCACAAGTGCTGTCACCATGAACGTGCATCTTGTTATCCTGAGTGCTCATGCAAACCTATGAGACACCCATTGTACCAAGAAGAAAGAAAGCTATGCAAACTTCAAGCGATAAGGATCTTGAAATTAATAGGACATATGAATGACAGCCACGAAAGACAATACAAGCTGAGATGTCTTAGGGCAGGAAAGCAATCAGCCTGCTGCATTCTGAGTGACTTGAAGTCTAGCCATAAAGGCTACCAAGCAGTGATTTATAATGCACTAAGCCTGGGAGTGAAAATTCATGGATCCACTTCTCTGCATTTGTCTACAAGGGCATGGAAGTGCATTTGCAATATTTCTTAAAATGTCCAAAGGCTGCCTTTGATGATCACTCAAGGATTGACTGTTAAACATTTAAAATAATTCCAGGCTCATTAAAACTAGCTTTGTTTTGAAAAGTAAGAAGCCATAAATGGATCTGCAATGAAATACTGCAGCTCTTTGTTTTTAAGCCCCCAAGCCATTTTTCTCTCTTCTAAGAAAAAGGCAAATAATTAACTCCTGAAATGCAATGTTTATAACAGAAATGTCAGCAAACTCTTCACAATTCAAAGAAATACTACAGATAGTGAGTTTCCTGAAACAACCATTAAAGAGAGAACCCCTGTAATACTCATACCTGTTGGCAAAGCGATATAAATCCTTTTCTCCAACCTTCTTCGCAAAGCTTCATCAATGTCCCAGGGAAAATTTGTGGCAGCAAGCACCATCACCATTTTAGATGGGTCATCATTTTCTAAGGCACCACCTACCCCTGTTAGTACAACAGTGTAAGAAAAAGTCATTTTAACAGTCTCGGAGAATTCCTGCCTTTTTACAGGTGCTAGACTGGCAGGCCTTGGGGATGGAGATGCTCCATTTATCAATAAATGGACAGCACATAGACAGTAGCAGGGCAAGCTTCCTTATGTCACACTCCCAGCATGTCTCCAAACTGCTTTGAAAGCAATCTAATGTTAAGGAAGAGAGAAGTTCATCTGCCTTGCTGATCAGGCTTCTGCTGAGATTGCCACAAGGTGATTTTGTGATGTGTGGACAGCTGTCCACCAGTGACTCACCTGAAACACCCATTCAGTTTATTTAGGTCACTGAAGAACCATGAGGTGGTAAAAGTTTTCAGTCATTCTCCCAACCTAAAGTTAGATTAAAAAGGAACCAGTTGCTTCTGGGCAAAGAGCTGTGTCTTCCCTGCATTTTCTCCAATGTGCCTTCACACTTTGAGGCACTAGAAAATGATTGTGAGAGCAAAACCACCACAAGAATGGGTTACCTAACCCGTATACCACCAATCCTTTGATGATGGCCTCAAAAACACATATATGCCAAATGCCCTGCCATGGTGTGAAAATGATGAACAAATGATACCAATTGTCACTGCTAAGTCCAGGATTGTTAAATCAGACCAAGAGGACCTGTCAGAGTGAGTCAATAAAGGAGAAGGAGTTTATTTAAAACTTTGTACCTTCTGCACACCCCATCAAAAACAGAAGTCTGAAATTAGCTGTGCAAATATTCCTAATCTACCTGTCTTTTTTTTCACATTAAGGTGGGGGAGGGGTTTGGTCGCTTCTTAAAATGAAGAGTTTACAAAAAACTTTTTCACTGCTGAGAGAGAAAGAGAAGAAAAAGAATTCCATTTTAAAACCAAAAAAACCCCACCCCAAATACTTTTTTATTTATTAAAAATATCTGTTTTGAACACCTTGGAACTAAGCCAACTACAAATTTTGAATCCCCTCCCCCCTCAAAAGGACGGTTCCGATTTCCCAACAAGCCCTACTTGCTGCTGGGCAATGAAGAGTCCTCAAAGCTGTACCCAAATCCAGAAAATAAACTGCAGCCCAACCCCAAAGCAACACCTCAACACTAATTACCGTCCATCTGAACAAGCAGCTCCGACTTGACTCTGCGACTTGCCTCGTGTTCATCGGATGTGCCTCGGCGACTGCAGATGGAATCTATTTCGTCAATAAAGATTGTTGTTGGAGCGTAGAACCGAGCCTTTATTCAGAAGTGAACAAAACAATTTAGACTACAGCAGTAAACATACACCCAAAGTAGGCTCAGGGCCTTGCTGTGCTATGCAGTGTGTACATGCACAGGAAGACACCCCACACCACAAACAACTGCATCTGAAGTAATCCTACAAAGACTTTGCACATGGCACCCAGTGCTGCTGACAGTCATTGGGGATACTTTCTATGCACACAGGCTTTGCAAGGTCAGGGGCTAAGACAACAAGTATCTTGCAATGAGTGGGGAGAAAAAGAACACAATCAAAATACAGACAATGTGCAAGATGTAGTTTGGTTTTCCTAATGGCAAAAACATAGGTGGATACAGGAGGGTCTCATTCTCAGTCTCTCCAAAAACTACAAAATGCTTTAACCAATACTAGGCCAGAAGTGAACAAGGATCCAGAGGGAGTAAATGACACATTGCACCTGTGCACATGCACACACACCCTGAGTTGCATACAAAATATTTCTCAGTAGCAGTTCAGGATTTGGCCCTTGTTTCCAAAAATCAACATTCCCCCATGGAACATGGACAACAAAAATAAAACGTATTTTCTTTCCCAAACTCATTACCTATCATTACTCCTCATCTTCAAAAATATATTGAGAAAGGTCTGGTAAATGAAGCCTGCACTTCTAGCCACCTCATCCTGCTGCCAGACACTAGAGGGTGCTATAAGGACCAACCACACATGTCCCTTCAGCACACAGATCATGTCATTGAGACCTTACCATTTCGAAGAGGAGGCGCACTAGCTTCTCCGACTCGCCCCTATACTTGGATGTCAGAGTAGAGGAGGAAACGTTGAAGAATGTTGTTCCACATTCAGTAGCAACAGCTTTGGCTAGCATTGTTTTGCCAGTCCCAGGCGGGCCAACCATTAGCACACCCTGCAATTCAAGATGGAATAAAAGCTGAATGGCACTGCAAAAGCAAGCCGAGAGTAAGCAAATGCAAAGGCACTGCAATCGGCTGTGTTGTGCTAAACCCAGCTATGACTCCAAGTCTTCATTTTAATGGCTCAACAATGTAACTGATGCATGCCTGAGTGAGGCTGGGCTGAAAACAAGAATTTTTTCTTTCCACTTTTACATGAAATCAGACACACACTTATACAAGGATAAAAGCCAGTAGCTCAATGGATGGGGCACTTCTTTGGGACGTGGAAGACCCAGACTTCCCAACTCCAGCTATGTGCAAATCTGGCTGATTTTCACTTCACTAAAGCCATTCATAAAGTACATGGGCATCTCACACTGTTTATTCTCTCTCTAATCTATCCATATTACCACAGCACTTGAGCCCCTCACATTTCAATGTCTGTATCCTCAGGACACTCCTGTGATGTAGGGAAGTGCCATCATCTTCACCTTACGTATGGGGAAATGATGCACAAAGAGAAGAGACTGGGAGCAACAGAAATGCTTTGGCACTGAACTCTCTTAGCTGTGATGGAAGTGAAATACATAAACACTTCTCTGGATTTGGGCCTAAATGATGTGGTCAGTGCAGCACAAGAAATGCCCACAGCAAATCAAAAAAATGAACCTCCTTATGTCCTAACCACTGAGGCATCCTTTTCTCCCCTCTCCTGCTGACAGAAAGGGCAAAATGGGAAGTCTCAGGTGACCTCTAAGTCCACATCCATTTACTCACTCTTAAGTGATGGGGAGACTGAACATTTTCATAGTCCAAACAAGAGTTTTAGCAGCATTGCTTGTTTCTGGACCTGACCATGAAGGCATTCATTTTTATATGGTCCATGGTGGCAGGGCCTCCTGAAGGTAGGTGGTGGTAATGACCATTTCCCCTCCTATGGAGGAGTCAAGGGTTAATGCTGACCCATAGGAGAAGGGTAATACTGTATTTTCTCATACATAACTTACACCTTTCTCCCTCAAAACCAGCTGGACAAAATTGGGCTGGGCATTACATGCAAGGAAAAGAGATCCCTAGGGCCTGAAAATCTGGCAGGAGGGGAAAAGGGGCAGAGTGGTGGCTGTGTTAATTGCTGAAGCTCTAGGACCCATGGGGAGCCCCCTCCCCATCCGCACACAACCGCAGACCCAGTGTACCAGGTTGGTCTGCAGATCCTATCCAGTGCACAGGTCCAGCAGCAGACTTGGAAGCAGGCTCGGCTCCCTAGCTGCTGCCACTGACTTATCTCAATCATATTTTTTCAGGCTCCTCTTCAAAATCAAAGATAGTATGGGGGCATACTATATGCAAGAAAATATGGTACTCAAAACTGTTTTCAATAAAATTCCTCCAGATACTTTAGAAGGCTACTTCTAAACTGTATGCCTCCTTCAGATGGGGGAGCACATTGTTTTCCCCACTCCATAGTGGCCAAGAAGAAAAGAGGTGACTTCAACACTCTGCTGTTGAAAATGCAGTTTCTGAGCAGCTTGCTTTTACAAATACAAGATCTGATTATAGGCTAACAAAAGCTTACTAAAGTCAAGTCATACTGCGTTTCAAGGGTAATCAAATTAGCTGGAATTAGACTTGCACATCATAAATGTGCTTTGCAATTAATATCTTACATAAAATGCCACAGTAATAAAATATCTGTTAAACGCGATCTATACTGCAAATTAAGTTTCGTCTGTTCCTCACAAAAATTTACTTCAAAAAGCACAAGGAATGACATGGAAAAGAACTATAAAAACAAATCAACCGGGAATGCAATTATTCAAAAAAGTACTCATCAAGAGCAATAGCTTTTCTATGCCTTCATTTTCCATTAACTCTTAATACCTTTATTACCATCTAACACTTTGCTAATGGGAGCACACACATATATTCATCGGTAAATTAAGTTACAAATGTTCATATCCTTCCCATACAGTCAATGGCCCAATGTCACTTTTTAGGCTTCCCAGAATTTCCCAAACTCCAGGACAATAGGCATTAAAAACAACAACAATGAAAAAGATATCGGCACCTCCTCCCTCAGATCATTCAGATATTGCTTACCCTGGGATTCAGTCACTGCTACGATGGCAGCAGCACTAGACAATTGTTGCCAGCCCACAGCATACACATGGATAACTGGATGAAATTCCCTGGCCTATGATATACCAGAGGCCAGGTTAGATGACCTAATGCTCTTTCTAGATTAGTAACACAAGGCACCTATACACACGCAGAGGCTGCCCCGATGTGCTGTAATTACAGTGTTGGAGCAGACTTGATTAATCGAGTCTGCTGGAGTGTAATAACTACCATGCTCCATCAGAGTCCAGCGTCATGTGTATTAGCGTTCCCATGCTGAACATTGGTGGCGGGAGCACTTTAAAACTCATTCAATGAGTTTTAATTAAAGTGCCCCCTCTGCCATTTTTCAGCATGGAGATGCTGATACACGTGACAGTCCAGGTGCTTTAATTAGAGGGATCTTGGACCTGCTTTAATTAAAGCCCTCCCCTCCCCACCCCCCACGGAGCATGTGTATAAACACTCACAGTTTACCCCAGTTTCAAACCAAGCTAAGCCTCCCTAGTTTAGATCATGCTGTACCCACAAAAAATGTGGTTATACTGGCTCCCCAGGTGGCTAAAATCCCAGCACAGATAAGGTCTCAGTCCTAAAATCAATACAGGGAGCTAAATTTTGCCTTCAGTTTTCTACCTAAATCACCGCTAGTGAATCGAAGGGGCTGATTTCTCCCATGCCTTGGATCACGAGTAGCTGTGTCCTTCTCTATCACATAGGTGCAATGTGACCAAATGAGGCTGATGGCATTATTTATCCACTTTGCACAAGTCTGGACAACCCCCCAAGGTGAAGGCCATGAGAGAATCAGGCCACTGACAAATGCTCACAGTACGAAGATCAGCACAAAATTTGAGCCTGAATTTCCAGCTAAGCTAGATGCCCAGAGTTGGGAGGAGGAGCGTGCCAGACCAAACTACTTGTTCTTTGTATCATCTAGGAGTCTGGCACTTACTGGCTTGTTAAAATCCCTTACAAACACAATGCCTTCTTTATTCCCCTTCTCAGGCTGTTAATCCAGAGTATTCCAATAAGAAGCTAAAATACACTGCAGGGAGCAAGCGTTTTGATGAAATCATTGGCAGGGTTATTTCTTGTTGTTGTAACAATCACTAGCAGAGCAGTGGGAAGCACAGCTAGAGACTGGGCCTTCTTGGCACAAAGAACAGTACATAGAAAGGAAACAAGCAGCTCCTAGCTATTCAGAAAGCAATGGCTGCAAATATCCAGCACCTGTGTTTAGTCAGGAGAGCTGGCCTTTTCATACCATGCACCCATTTTGAATGCAGAGACAGGCTGCAAAAGCAGGATTGGGAACTGTTCTCGGGAGAGCCTGAGTATCCACTAAGAGGAGTGTTGGCTGCTTTTTCTCTGAATTATTGCCCTCAATGCCTAGAGTCAACATCTGCTTGCTGCTGCTGCACTGCGTACAGCAAAAAGCAACCTTTGCTTCAAAATATTTCATCCTTCTAGCACAGGCAGAGGGCAGTGGTAGGGAAAAAAACACACTGTTCTGTGTAAAAAGGAAGAAAGCAAAATTGCAGCTTCACAAGTCATCTGTATATTCTCAGATGGCAGACTATGAATGGGTTCTTCAGAAACCAGCTTACATTTCAGACTGAACAGCAAGGAGGAAAAACTTAAGTTCTAATTTCCTTCCCAGCTGGTAACTGCCCAGTTTCTACGGCTGGCACCAGAGGGACAGGCACAGCTAATCTCACAGGCAGAAGGAACACTCCAATCCATGAACTGCGCTGTGGCTTTTGCAGCCATCGGCATGTTCTTGTGAGGGGACAGAGGAACACCAGCAAAACGGGAGCTGCCAGCAGTGTGCTAAAGGAGGCATGCTCAAAAGAAGGGACTATGGTGCCTTCTAGTAGTATTTCCCTTAGGCAGTGCTGACTTACAAATGATAAAGATGAATTAAGTGTGGAGACCACTAGCCTGCTGGTGAGAGGGTGAGAGCCAGGGGCAGAGGTAACCTCCAGCCAGGCAACGAAAAGCATAGTCTCACCCTAAACTAGTGATTAGATATGCAGCCCCAGCGGGGAAGAAGGGACAGATTTTAGCAATGTGCATCCTTTCTTGTATTGGTGAGTCAGAGTCTTCATGTCTGCTGCTACCCACATACACAAGTGCTTTGCCAAATCAGAGCCACAGACAGTATAGTAAATAGGAAAAATATCCTCCTGAGTTTTACCATTACATTCATTGCAGAAAGTGACATACCCCTAAACAAGCATCAGTCAATTCCATACCAAAAACTACATTATTTTCTGTTTATAGCCCTGTACCTACTTTTCACCTATAAACCTCCCAGCTTTTCCACACATGTCCAGATATTTAGTTCAATACATTTTGCATAAATGGTTATACTGTGATTTCATTAATTACAGTATTCATCTTTGCTAAAAATGCATGTGTGCTAGGACAGCACTACTGTCCTAGTAGGTGATGAGGTGCCTCTTGGCATCTGACACCATCCACTAGTCCAGGAACATGTACATTGAACACATCACGGTCCACTGCCAATATGAGGACAGTTGCCCAAGACCAACAGCCATCAGCAAGACTGAGGGGGTGGCCCAAACCCCCCCTGCACTTGCCACAACCGCTCTCTATGCCCTGGACTACCCCCACCCCAACAACTGTACCCCACATGCTAACACCTGTATTTGAGTGTGCTTGACCACCTCACAACTCCCTACCAATGTGGTTACCATACATGGGGTATGGTATCCTTTCAACAGCGATGTGTTGCTATGTTTTCTTCCCCCACCCCCTCTCTACCCTAGGCTAATGTGGGCTGCATGATGAACTGCAAGTCTTTTATCGCACCAACCCACCCCAACTACACCTCATGTAGCCACCAGGTGCGGGGTCCCACATTCTCTCTAATCTCCACAAACCCATGTCCTTAACCAGTTTTTAACTGTGCATTGTTTTAATAAAATTTTTAAATCTATATCAAGGCAGCATCTACACACATGCTACAACACTATGTATATATAACTATATGTTGGCATGTAGGTAAATGCCCTTACCCAGCCCCTAGACTAGGGTAATAAATTCTCACCTTCCAAGGCCGTCTGATCCCTTTGAAAAAATCAGGCATCCACATTGGAAGAACAACAGCTTCCCTTAATAATTTCTTGGCTTCTTCCAAATCTGCTATATCATCCCTGTGCAGGAAGAGTTAAATACTGCAGAGTTTGTGCACACAATATCTTACTTTGGTTTTAAGACATGAAAAATTGAAAAAAAGTCTTTCTGTTACTACTGCCCTTTTTAGTATGCTACTCTGTTCCTAGTGAGAACATTGCTATAATTTTGTAGCCTAAAAATGAACCTGCCTGTGAAAGGAAGGAAAAAGTGACTTTCAAGTAAGGTTACTGCAAGTTGCTAATTAAAATTTTTTTGGATCATGTGTTCATCAAAGGAACATTTTTATAGTTCTCCAGAGGGCACTTACACATTTTAGCATTACTTGTTATGGAAATATCGCACATAATATTGGCTAAGAATGGAAGTCTCATGCTGCAGTCAAATCAGTACAGTTTAAATCAAAAGTCCCATTTTTTTCCAGTTTGGGAAGTCATGATGGTTTCCCATTTTGTAACTGGTAAACACAGACATACTCAGAGGATGTACTCAGCCCCTTTCCACCTGGCAAAAAAGTTTAAAACTGAAAATCCTCATACCAATGAATGCTTGGATTCCTTGATACAATGTCCCTTTCGAGTGCTTCAACCAAGTCTTTGTCATACCCAGCTCCATCAAACTTTGGAATTTCTCCATCTCCAGCACCTTCCTGAGGGGTTTTCTTTCCCTGGGAATAAAATAACACAGATCAGAATTATACAACAATGTTGTTCAGCTACTGCTCTGCTCAAGCCAAGTGTAATTTCAAACTTTCATGTACAACTCTGGACTGTCTCATTCTCATTACAGCTAAGAAAGCACATTTTTATGTTTTAACCTCCATGAACACACACTATCCCAGAAGTGTGCTTTAATGTACTACTTTTTTCTTTATGTTAATCAAGAATGTATTTGGTTTTGTTAAAATAGGGGCAAACAAGACCCTAGTAGCAGTAAGATACTCCTTAGATTACCAGCACAGCTGAATGCAGGAGAGGATGCATTTATACCTTAATAGTGAACAACCTGTCATGACTCAATGCTGCATTAAATCCAGGTCCATAGGTGGTCCAAAGGTGTATTTTGATTGGTTGGTTAAGCCTGATGATGTTACATTTGTTGCACTACCTGCTGATGGTACACAACCAGGAGCCTAGTATTACAATCATGATGATGTCACACTCATCAGCTTTAATGAGAAGCAAATAGATGCTTTCCCCTTGCTTTTTAATTATTTACAAAGATACAGAGGAGCTTGAAGAAAAGGCTTTTCCTATCCTACTCAGTCGTTACTCTTCTCACACCGCAAACAACAATCTATTTCCTATTTCCTTTCTCTCCCTCATAACACAGCCGCACATGCAGCTGGGATACTTTCAAGAGTTCATATTTATTTAAATGACTGCGCTGAGAGCTCTAAATGAGTTCCCAAGCCAACCTAAGCCATCTTTATATCACAGTTGTATTCAGGGTTCTGGGAACTATCAAATGAATCAGGGAAAGCACAGCCTCTGCCCCAGGCTGCTCACAGTCTCCAGTTAGCAGCTCCAGAGCTCGGCTGAGCTAATGGGTGAAGAAACATTTCCTCTCTGAAGCACCATTACTCTGACACTTCAGAAGGAAACCACTTCCCCTCCCAGCTCAACGGCTGTGCTCAGTGGTGCCTGAGAAGCAGCTGCATTGTTTTAACTGAACTGGGCTCAATAGGAAACTGGTTTAGAGTTATCGCAGTCTCTAAAAAGCATCAGCACAAAGCTAAAGTATCCCAGCTGTCTGGAAACAGCAGCACATGGGAAATAGCATGGAGAGGGGGACGAGACAAATAAGCTAGCAGAGGAGAGCAGAAAAGGCCAAGGGCCAGTGTACAATGCCCCTTCCTTGTGCCCATTAGCTCACATGCCCTTCAGGGAGCAGCTGGTGTCCTTCTAGCCTCTTTCAACTCTCACTTCAAGCCGAAGTCAGAGCTACTCAATATTCCCAGTTCAGTTTTCATGACAGAAAGAGAGCTGATTGTTGCATTTAAACCAGAGCTTGCTTGTCTAAAGGACACTGAGCCTCAAAGAGAAAAGGAACAAAGAAGGCACCTGTAGAGTTTAGAAGTCTTCAAATGAGAGGTTTAGATACAAAAAAGTATGCAACAATAAAAATATTATTCATAGTAGAGAAAAGGCAAGAGTTGCAGCTTTTCCCCAATACATAATTCTCTCATAGCCCCATACAACAAGCTTTTTTTCAAGGTGAATCAATCTGCTACACATGCTCCTGAAAAACTGCAGGGATGTATTTTTTTAAAAAAATTAACCATTAAGCCATGCTTTAAAAGCAGGAAGCCATGGGGGCCTCAGACTACTAGTGCACCGCAAAGGCAGCTGAAAGGAGCAAGACTGAATGACATACCTGAGGTTGGCTCCCACATTTGTGCAAACTTTAGTGTAGCTTATTGCTGTGCAAAAAGATGGTATACAAATAAATAAAATGATGCAGAACACATGGTGATATCGATGCTTTGCAAATAAAAAAACAGCCAAAGGCAGAGAACCAAATGCACAGCTGGCGTGTGCTGAAAGCATGCTAACAACAACTTTATTCATGCACTCCCACTAAAACCAACATGTAATTATGATGAGCAACCACAGGGTGGCAGCATTAAATGAAAAACATTGTATGAAGACTGGCAACAGTACTACAAAGGCTGCCTGAAGAATAACTGTGGAAGGAAACGAATACATATGTCTTGTATGCAAAGTAAATATGAGACGCTTGTTTCATTTGTGCACTGGCACTCATCTTCATGATCCTCTCACCCACAGCATTCATAAGCTGCTGCTCTCCTAGAGTAATAATGACTCGCAATTGAAAGCATTTTTACTGGATAAATCATGTTTATATACTAAACAATCACAGCTGAGAATTTGCTTCCACAGCAGAACGTTTTATTTTTTAAACAGTCTCTTCTAAATTATCTATTCTGACATAACTCATTCTAAGGTTTAGTTGTTCTACCGCTTCAGAGTTCATTTTGAATTAAATACCAATTTGCAAGCATCTTGACAATCTTAGGCAAGAAGTCCTGATGAAATTTAAAGATCCAGAAAAAAAAGATGCAATTCACCAATAAAAAGAGCTGAAAAGGAAACCAACTTCAAGAAATACTTTAATGCCAGACTGATTAATGTTGACTGAGCATCAATTTGGAAGAAAGGACATTTTATTCCTTATCTGTACTGAAAATAAAGCAAATTTTAAAATGTTTACAGTTTTCACATGTGATAACGTGTTTTATAGTTACAGATCATGGGTCCGATCCCGCAACCCTTACTCAGGTGATCAGAACTGGATCAAGGATACTACAAAGGGGGGCAGGGGGGGAGCAGCAACCAGCACTGCAGGGGTAGCTATGCTCCTGGTTCCCAGTCTCCCCCTTCCCATTCCACCAGGACAGGTAGACCATAGTACAGCAGCAGCAGTTGAGGACTTTGTTAAGTCCCCAAAGCAAGTAAGAATTACCCCCTTCCCTACTCAGAAGCCTGTGCCCTCCCTTCCCTGTCACTCCCACTCCCACTATCCCCACACTCCTTGGTGTGAAGAGGGCTCCAGAGCTGCTCTAGCCAGGCTGTATGGAGGGTTGGGCTCAGCTTGGGACAGCAATGGTGAACAGGCAGGTTCTGGACTGGAAGGGAATGCCTGGGTCATTAGGTTGAGTCCATGGCAATCACAGACAACCACTGTCTCTTTCAATCTGTTCCTTACTTTATCTTTCTTCTACCAGGAGGGTTGGGTCCCCTGCCCCCCACAGGACACCACCTTCTTCATCTTCTCCTGCATTTTCTTAGTCTAAAAAACTAGTTGTATGTGAAAAATAGAACCCTATGGACACATCCCAATGAGCGTGCATGTGTCTCTTGCAGTGTCTTAAGGCCCTTTGAGATGCTGCAAGAAGCACATGTGGGAACAAAAAAATGTTCCCTGAACTGCAAATCTGCAGTGCGGGGGAAAAAAATAAGACCCCTGGATATCTAGGGGTCAAAAAATACCCCAGGGCAAAAAAAGGCAACTGGAGGCTGGGTCCTCCACAGAGATGGTCTGGTAGCCAGCCAGAGAATCTCCATGGCTGGCTCTCACCCCAGTGCTGAAGCATGCTACCTGCCAGCATGAGGCAGCGGGGGCAGCGGTACCAGGCCCCAGGTGATAGCTGCAGTAGGTCCACCTGCCTGACAATGTGTGGAGCTGCACGACACCCTCCTGACCTGGACTACACCCGTGCAATGGGGCAGTGGCAGTGCGGGTACCAGATGGCCAGCAATAGTCCCCAATGCCCCCCCTCTGACCTGTGCTGTGCTTGGGGGGGACTCTGCCAGGAGGGCCCAGTGACCTTGATGGCAGCTGCTACTGCTGCTGAGTGCGGGGCTTTTTTTTTTTCTTTTTTTTTTTTTTTTCTTTTTTTTTTTTTTTCTTTTTTTTTTTTTTTCTTTTTTTTTTTTTTTCTTTTTTTTTTTTTTTCTTTTTTTTTTTTTTTCTTTTTTTTTTTTTTTCTTTTTTTTTTTTTTTCTTTTTTTTTTTTTTTCTTTTTTTTTTTTTTTTCTTTTTTTTTTTTTAAGTGCCAGGAGGCTGGGGCCAGGTAGGGCAGCCATCAGGAGTCTGGGGGTGCAAGCAGGGGCTGGGGCCAGGTGAGGCAGCCACCAGGGTGGCTGGGGGAGCAAGCGGGGGGCACATGAGCCCTGCAGGGGGCTGGTGATAGCCCCTGGAGGGTCATGTGGCTCCTGTTGGGGG